GACACCCTAGGAAAAGGGTAGCAACGCCCTTGTGTGTGTGTATATATATATACTCTGATGTATCTATACACTCTGATGGTATCAAACGATAATTGATCAGTTTTTTTACTGAAACATTGCATGTTCCTCCTTGATGCCATCAAAGTAAATATATATTGTGATAGTATTAAGCAATAAAGACGCATTAGTAATTAAAAACGAGGGGGTATGAAAATAAAAGAATAACCGCTTGTAAATAATTTTCCTTTCTGATGCACAAGTGTTCTTTTCCTTACTTTTTATGATCCAATTTTCATCCCCAAAAAACAATGATTAAATGTTGTCTGAAATTTCAATTACTACTCCCTTCATTCTATATTAATTGAATTTTTGAGGTATTTTTCATTTTCAAATTAACTTAATTGTTTAATTTTCAAGACTATTTTTAGAGTGTTCTTCGAATTTTACCCTTCATTAGTTAGTATTGTAATTAGTGATTAATTAATATTTAGTTATTTTAATAATAAATTTGACAATAATTAATAAGGGTAAAAATGAAAACAATGTTCAATTTATGTCTTAATCTACTTTTCTTAAAAGGTGTGAAATACCTTAAAAATTCAATTAATATGGAATGCAGGAACTACGACAATATAACAATAACATCTCATTGTTAATATTGTATTTCTTAGTGGACGATGAAGAATGGTCATGTGAATAACTATTTGAATAGAGTTTTGACTAGGGAGTATACCTTGATAGGAAATTTATATGCTCCAATTACATATTATTTTTGTGTCCCAATTTATATGACTCTCTTTCTTTTTAGTTTCAAAAAGCTAAGAATGATATATTTCTATATTTACGAAGAATTTAATTTTAAAATATCAATTTTATCCTTAATAAAATAATTTTATAATCACACACATTTTTCACTAATTTGACACCATAAATTCCAAATATTATTTTTTTCTTAAATTATGTATTAAGTCAAACTAACTTATAGAAAATGAAACGGAACGGAGGAAGTATCATCCTTTTGCATGAAATGGCTGTTGGATAGTCAATCTCATTCTTTTTGACAGATTGAATCAAGTCAAAGCTCTTTCAACCATCATAGCAATGTTGTTCCCCTCTTTTAGGATGCATGAAAAAAAATCTCACTTTGTTTGGAGAAGATGAGTGAAATCATGAGTTTATTGGATGACACTTGAAGCACTTGTTGTCCTAACATTTCAACTGTGCTTCTTTTGATTTGACCAATAATTGCCAAGGTAACTTTTGACCTTCTTTAGGAGTAGGTTGACTCAATAGTATTAGATTTGGGGTTGATTTTTGTTGCAATCATCTTGATATTTTTAAACCTAGAGGAAAAGAGAGATAAGAGCAGACACAACTTAAGTTTATTAGTAATTTAAAATCAAAAATAAATCAAAGGTGTTAATTATTATTATTTTTTTATTTTTTATTTTTTTTTAAAATAGTTTTTCAAGATGTAGAATTGTTAATATATTCTAACAAAATTTCGAAAAGTACAAATGGTTTTAAATCTTATGGTCTTAAACATGACATGTAAAAAATGACAATTAAAAAATGACAAAATAAAATAAAATAAAATATTTTTTTTCGAAATGAACTAAACAAAGTAAGACAAATAAATTGAAATGACACAATATAATTATTTTTTAAAATAAAAAATTAGAATAAATTTAATATTACTAAAAAAAATGAGAGCCCTCAAATTTGGAGGTCTAAGGCGGACGCTTGATTTTCAAAGGCATTGAGCCGCCGACCCTTGATAAGCGGTAGATATTATTTATTGTGCATGCTAAAATTTATAGACAATTAAAGTCGCGTCAAGAAAATAACGAAGTCTAAAAAATCTTGTAACAAGCCATGTAGTAATTTATGTCAATATATACAATGAATATTATAATCTCTATAACTCCTCCAATTCTTCCTTGCAGAAATAAATTCATTAGCCTTTTAAGTTTGATCTTCAATTTTGGTCTTTATCTTCATATATTTAGAACACTCGAATTCTTGCAGTTTGTAGAGAATTTATATAATTTGATCCCCAGTGAGCTCACTTTGACTTTTTATTTTAGTTCTGACGTATTTTTTGAACTATAATTACCTCTATTTATAGTTGTAGATGGAAAGAGTTGTAATAAGGACAAATTCTCATTTGAATTAATTGGTTGACTTGAATAAATTCTCATTTGAATTAATTGGTTGACTTGAATCTCTAACCAATTAGATTGAAGTTATGAACACAAAATTTAATTGACCGAAACATGTCACTTATACTCCTGGCATATTTTTATCTTTTTTGATTTGACTAGGCAAGTGGCGTTATCCTATTGGTTTTCTATGTTAACTTGGTATACCACATCATTTGAAACATAGCATCAATGTAGCCTCCAGAATGAGATGGCAACTTGGGCTAAACAAGGTGACTAGACCAAAGAAATAGGTCCACTAATTCAATGTATATTATACAACAATAATATACTAGTATAATTTTACAAGTGAGTATGGGAGAGTGGTATGTACACAGTTTTGCCTGGACCTTGTAAAGATAAAGAAATGATTTCGATAGACCATTGTCTCAAGTAAAGTATATCAACATCAAGTATTAAAAAGAAATATAGTAGTGAATTAGTCATGCTAAAAATAAAGTAGAATAGAATATGATAATAGAAGCAAAGAAAAAAACATATAGTAATAGTAGAAGAATAAAAAAGTAGGAGAGTTAGCAACAACAAATAATATGATAACAAAAACAAAGGAAACAACTTATAGTAATAGCAGAAAAATTATAATAATAACAATACTGATAAAATAAACTAAACAACGCTCAACATCTTATTAACCTTTTATCCTAATCCTCGACCTCAATATTCTCCTATCTAATGTTATGTCCTCGGTAACCTGTAAATCTGTCCTGTCATGTCCAATCACCTCTTCACAATACGTATTCGTTCTATCTCTATCTCGCATCATACCCACCATAGCTAACCTCATACACCACTTTATAAAACTTACCATAAATTCATATTCATTGCACATAAATAATTAATTCAATGGACTTTTTTTCATTTTTGGCCCATCGCCCGTAATATTACAAAATATGGTAAATTTTAGGAATCACATGGTTTTAATATGAAATTACAATCTATCCCTCTTTAGTTTGTAATTACATTAATCCCTTAAAAAGTAACACAAATCGGATACATAATATATAGCTCGGATACATTAAAGAGTATCTCGAATACATTATAACATAAACCGAATACATAATATGTAGCTCGGATACATTAAAAACTAGCTCGAATACATAATATGTAGCTCGGATACATTATAAAATAAACCGGACACATAATATGTAGCTCAGATACATTAAATACTAGGTCGGATACATTAATATGTAGCTCGAATACATTAAAGAAATAAGGGATTTTAGAGATTTTTAGAAATAGAAGGGGATATTGGAAATAAGGAAAATATAAGACATGTATTTCAGTAATTTTTCCTACAAAATATACACTAATTATGTGTGTACATATATACCATATTAGGAAAATGAAATTTTTGACCCACTAAGTAACAATATGAATATTTTTGGATTAAAATATTAATTGTTGGGACATTTTTGGATCAAATTGGATAAAATGACATTTTTAATCCATATTTTTAATTAACAAGATACTTTTTTTTATTTCCCTTCTCTTTGTGTAAATAAAGCTTTCATTTTCTCAAAGTTAAAGGCAAAAAAGAAGAAACTTTGCCTTTAAATGCCTTTTAGAAAGGGAATTCAGAAGTGAGTGAGAAGCTGTCAGTGCGTCAGCTCCCACTTCCCTTTCTTTCTTTATTTTTCTCTCAAAAATATACTGACAATGCCCAACCCCCCACCTCCACGCATGTTACACAAACATACCTTAAAATAATTAATTAAAACATAATTTATCATCCTTTAATACTGATATACTCATATACAATGGCGATATTATAATTTTCACTAAGAAAGTTCAAAATACGAATAAATTAAAATGATTCAACATCTGAAACAATAATATTTACCTTAAATATACAATATAGTTTTTTATAAAATAAATTTGAATAAATCCCCTTAATCTTATTTGACTCTGCCCTTATTATTAGTACAAGTTTTGAAACAAAGTAATTATATAATTAATGAAGTACCAGACTCCAGAGTGTCCATGTCTGTTGACAACAAAGATTCTAAGTTTGATTTTTTTCATCATTCATTATTTAAAAAATAAATAAGAAAATGTATGTTTGGTATTAGAAAAAAAAAAGTTCATGAGAGATTGTGAGTCCAAGTCATTATTTTTATATTATGAATAATTGTGTTTATTGAAATTTACAAGTATTACTAATTTATTGTCACAATTTGGCCAATAAGTTGGTTTATGTCTAGAACTACTATATTGATTTTTTTGATACTTTAGTTTTTGTATCAATCATATATATATATATCCACTTTGTTTACTAGTAAAGGAGTTTCAAAAGGTGTTTTAGGTAACAAGTTGAGCCAATTAGAACATTGTAGTTAGTTTTGTTTCTTTCAACAGTATTTTGTCACGCTTTCTGTAGTATTTTGTTATAATTTCTTCATTTTTGTTATTTTTTTCGATTTGCTTTGACATGCTTTTTTGTCGAAAAACATCTCCTCTATCTTTCAAAGTGCAGATAAAATTTACATACACTATACTCTCTTTTTATGCTCTATTTATGAAATTACACTAACTACTGAATATATTATTGTTGTAGTATATATTTATATAATACCTTTCACAACAACCCTTTCTTTTTCTCTACAATTTTATATTCACATAAAAACAAACACAAAATTGTATTTGCATTAGCATGTTATTATTATTTTTATTTTTGCTTTTCAGTTGTGTATCAACCAACCTTTTTGTCATAACTAAGTGTGATCCTTCATAGATTCCCTCCTTTTTTATTCTCTCTCTTTCTTTCCATTCTCTAATAACTTTGAATTTTCTCATTATTTTTTATGCTCATGCATCTGCCAAAGAATAATAATCTCACCATAATATCTTTCAACTCCATCTTCAACTCTTTTTTTTTTTTTTCTAACTCTCCAAACATCATTGTTGATACATTTTTTTTTGCATATAAAAAGAAAATAAAACAGAATTTCTCTGTTTTTATATATAAAGGAAATTTCCTTTTGTGGTAAGTGATTAATGGAAAATATGAATATTAAAGAAGGGAATAATCAACATATGAATGTTACAAATTCATGTAGTGGGAATAATAATAATAATAATAATAATTCAATAGGTGGAAGAGACAGTTCATCTTCACCTACAAATTTTCAACAAAATCAAGTTTCAATGGATTGGACTCCAGAAGAACAAGCTACTTTGGAGGAAGGCTTGGTAAAGTAAGTGAATCTTTTTTTTATTTTGGTATTCAATTTGATGTTTTGAGTTTGATATTACATGTTGTTTTCTATTTAGAGGCGGAGTCAGGAATTGAAATTTATGTGTGAAAGGATTTTAGTACCTTGAAGTTACTGAGTTCTAAATTAATAATTTGTACGTATTTGATGATTTTTTTTTTTATACAAATATAGGGTTTGGACTAAAATGATTTGTACATATTCAATGATAAGTTGTTGTTTCTACTTATGGGGTTGGCTAGTCAGAGGTATAGGTTCGGGATTCTAGTAGCTTGAAGTTATTGAGTTCTAAATTAATAATTTTGTACTTTTTCAATATAAATATAGAATTTGGACCAAAGCTATTCGATAGAGATAGCTTTGCCTTTGTGGCCAATTATGTTGGCTTGTCAAATTATTTGTTTGTTGTTGTGGTTGTCTAAGCTTTGTGATTGTTGTACTGATGAATTAGTCAAATGTTTGCATGTGAAATTTCTAAGGGTACAATCTTTGAAGATTCGTATATAGCTGACTCCATCTTGCTTGAGATTTCTCCGTGAGGAATTAGGAATTGAAGTCAAGCACAATTGTTTTAGGGAGATGGGAAATGTGAGACTAGAGGGAAAAAAATGAGAGCATCACGGAAAATCAAGAACACTATCCTTGTTAGTTTACGATATAGAGTTATTGAAGTTAGGAGAAGAATTTGAATAGCTCTGTCATCAAGTGTTGTCACCGAGGTTCAAACTCGAGCCACCCACTGGCATCAAGAGCCAAAGGAGCACAATGACCAGCTTCCCTAATCAGATATGTTTGAGGGGTTATATGATAGTTCTTTAAGGTATGTACACACATATATATACAGAGTTTTTTCGGAGATTAACTGGTGCACGTGCACATTAATTCTCTTAATAGACTAGGTCCACCCTTGGGTCGGGAGAAGGGCTGACCACAAGGATCTATTGTACGCATCAAACTTCTACTAGTTGACTCATAATATGATCTGAACATAGTTTTAACTCTGCTAACTTCTAGTATTATAAGAAGCAAAGATAAAAGGCTGATGTTTCGTTATTAACTATTATGTAACTTGTCAAAGTTTTTTGGTCTCTTATTTGTTGTTCTAAGCCAATTTACTTGAGGTTTAGAGTTTATTTGTAAGCTCTATCTATACCGCGTATAACAAGGCAATAACTCCAAAATATATACCTGCAGATACGCCTCTGAGACGAGCATATCCCGTTATGCAAAAATTGCAATTGCACTGAAGAACAAGACTGTTCGTGATGTGGCATTACGATGCAAATGGACCACGGTATGTGTTCTATACTACCTGCTGCACTTTTAGTATATTAGCTCAAAAGTCTACCTGAACTTGATACTTGACCAAAATATAACCAGAAAAAAAGGACAAATCTTGAATTTGTTACTTCGAAAACAAAATATAGACAAGCATACATCAAACAATCAACTATACCTCAATTCCAAATAAGTCGTAGCTAGTACTAAAAACATAGAAATTCTTAACCACAAAATAGTCCTCCTGTTAATTGAATTCAAAACGTATTTGGTATTGTGAAAATACGTAAAGTGGTAGGTATTTCGTTAAAAAGAGTTGACATATATATACTTCCTCTGTCTCAAAAAGAATGTCACATTGCTATAATTAGAAACAATTTAACTTCAAATATCTCCTTGATGAAATGCTTTATAGCTGCACAATTTTCAAAAGTTTTCATTTCTTTCTTAAATTTTGTGTTAAGTCAAACGGTGTCACAAATTATATTGTTTAGGTATAATTCTCAAATTCTTTTCTTGTGTTGTTGTATTGACTGTGTTGTAGAAAAAGGAAAACAGCAGGAGAAGGAAAGATGATGCAAATCTATTGAAGAAAAATAAAGATAGAAAGGTAAGCACTTTTTTTTTTTATGTTTTGTTATTAATATTGTCTTCCCTCTCTGTAATCTGTTCCATCTCATTTTTATGAGTCCAGAGAGTTTAACGTCTATATATAAAAGAACTTTTATTTTACCAGGTTAATCAAAAGATGAAATAACTATTAGCAACCCGTCCATAATATGTGGGATTAGGAACTAGGGAAATAAGTTAAAAGTACACTGATTGCGTAAACATTTCTTTATGTCATCGGTGTATATAAGTTAACAAATGAGCAGTGTAGGAGCTAGAGATCCGGTTTCTCCTGTGCTTTCTAACACTTATAGCATCTTATGAATTGTATTCCCATACATTGAAGTTTCTATAAGGCATGCTTGCTTCATTTCACGTGTGAAACGCAGCATGATCCAACAGAGAAGCCTATATTCTTTTGTCCGGTAAGATAATTTAGAATTCGCGGCAATCTCAAGAGAAAATGAGATACCTTATCTATCTCCAAGCCAGAGAAGTTTCTCTAGATGCTTATTGGAGGAGAGGAAGGGAGAAAAGCACAAAACTATAACTACAACATACCCAGTGGGATTGTAATCTCACAGGTGGGTTCTGGGGATCGAGGGTAGTGTGTAGTGTACACAGACCTTACCCTACCTTGTGGAAGTATAGACCCTCGACTCAAGGAAATCATTTGTAAGAAAAGAACAAATCTCTCTCCCAAAAAAACATATATTTGTTTAATCAAAGTTGAGATACATATACATCATGATATATTCATGACTAGTAGGATGTCTAACATGCAAGACTTAGATGATGAGTCCGCATCAAGGTGTAGTCAGAGTGCAATCCCTGACGTAGCTATGAATTATGATCCGTTAATCACAATTGTCTAACTTTTATGTATGATACATGAATGTTGTTTCAGTAGCATGATTAGACCTTTTTAATTAGCTCTTAAACCACAGACGACATATAAGATACTATCCCCTTTAACCATGACTAGGTAAACAAGACGTTTCAAGGCTGGCTACAAACGATCAATTTCCTTACGATGCTCTTGCTTTAATGAGAGCAACAGAGATGTGTGATTTCTTCTTTTGGTCAGTCTTGTTACAATACAACAGCTCAAAACACTATCAATTCATTCTTAGCTTGAAGTCGAGCAGAGAAAATAATATATATATATATATATATATATATCCTATACAGTCACTGCTGCTTTTGGTCCTTTTTGTGTTGATGAATGTGTAAAATTAAAATTATTCTTTTCTCAGGAAAAATTGATTGATCCTACTGCAGTATCGTCCCCCGTGGTAATGCAGCAGCCTAGTTATGCTCCATACACTCAAGGAGTGGTTTCTAATAAGTGTGAAGGTTTCGCATCGTACCATGGTCAGTTCTACTTCTCAAGAATTTTCATTTTATGTGAACACTATATATGTCTTGTTGGTGTTAATAATCACAAACTCCATATTTGCATTTTAAATTCTTTCTCAATGTTTGAAGTGATGGAAACTTAAATCTATTAAGTTGTGTGTAAGAAACTTGTTATTTTGACCAAACACAATATCTTTATATGATATATCCACACAATATTATCATCTTGTTGTATAAAAGAGATCTATAACTAGAAGAAAGATATCAGCTTGAGCACAAAGTGTTTTGAGGACAAACACCTAATATCTCAAGTTAATGTTCTTATCATCTAATTCCAACCTCTTTTATTCTGAAAAAAAACAGAATTTTGTTCTTTGCAGCCACACAGCTTATTCATCAAAACGCCCGGATCTTCGAACAAATTTCTGCAAATCTTGTTACACATCAAGTAAGTATCATTTCAGTTTCTTGCTTCTAAGTTCTAACTGTCAAATAATAACTAACTACTAAACAGTCTGCAAGTTGCCTACTGTTAATTGTGAAATTTTAATTAGTAGACCTTCGTTCTTGTTCTTGCAGATACACGAGAATACTCGACTTTTGTGTCAAGCTCGAGATAACATCTTCAAGATTCTACATAAGTACGTTCCCTCTTCTTGAGTATGCCTGTCCCTTTACATCTTTTATATTCTACCTTTGTTCTTTATTTACAGGTTGAATGAGTCGTCCTGCACGCTGAAGCAGATGCCACCACTCCCAGTTAAGTTAAATGAAGAACTCGCAAACTCCATTCTTCCCCCCTCAACTCATGCATTGGGGGTGATCATCTCACAATAGAAACTCAAGCATTCATGGTCATTGATCTTCAGATTTTACGGACGGAAAAATGTCATCTCTATCGCAAGGGAACAAAGAGTTGACTGATTTCATGTACAATTTTTGGGCATACTATACTTGCCTTATTGCTCCCTTCCCTGGTAAAGACCTTTGTACAGTAATAAAATAGAGTTTAAGTTTTATACACAGACACTATTTCATATATACCATCAGGTTAAGTGTGTGCTTATTTTCACTTTTATCTTTGTCACCATCATCAATTAGAAAAAACAAAGTCTATATGTAATTGGAGAGTGAATATATCTGTGAAAAAACATCTTTTCATTTTGGACAGTTCCAGCAATTGCTGCAGTTAAGGAATACATTTACAAGATTAAAACCAAACAGATGTCCCGGGAAATTCACTAAAGGGATCTCCTTCAATCGAGAAAAACACACCCGTCAGACACCGATAATACAAGCAACTAAAGGAATACAAAGAGAACCAAAACAACAAATTCATGGAAATGTGGATAAACCCGTCAGATGTTTTTAACTGAAGGAGGCCATGACAATCTCCTGTGGCTCATACCATCACCTTTTTCAATTTCACTACCTTCTTGAGGCTCACTCTCTTGCCTTCTCAGGCTTCCAACTGCTAAATCATCAAAGCTTGATTCTGTTCTCCATGGGGGAGGAGTCACGCAATCAGTATCTCCAAGTGTTGTCTGAATAGGATCGTTGCTTGGTGTTGTAGACAAGGAAGAAGAATGACCAACTCTCAAAGCATGCAGTGTTGCAATTGACTCTCTCATGGCAGACATGGCTTCAAAGAAACGGGTGCTGGAAGCCAAAGCAACAGGAATTGGACGAAGCATTTCCTACATTAATTAAACATCAAACATAAATATCAAATGCAATTTGGTATGTCTAAAATACTTAACCTTGTTTTCCTATCCATAGATGTGAATTCATGACTAATTCGGGGTCTTGAGAAGGAATAATTTTGTATCCCATTGTGTACTTTGAGCTATATTCCTCAAACTCTTCAAAAATATCGATGGGTGCATGTCGGATATTCCAAAAAGTAGTGCATTTTTGGAAGATCTAACACCAATGCGGCAACATTTTTGGAAAGTTCAAGCAACATTGACTTTGAGGGTTCCAACTCACCAGGCATGCAATTTCCTATATCCTTTAATCCTTTTGCAGTTACAACTTGAATCAGTCTTCCCTGAGTGCACATACAAACATGTGTTGCTTCTATACACACTAACATCTAGCTGCATCATACATCTCTGTCCCTATTTGACAGTTATAGCTCCTGCTAACTACGCCACATACAATTTTATTTTTTTCCTTATTGAGTTTTACAATTTTCTTTCCATCAAAGTGTATGTAGAACTAGTGACATGCCTTCCACAAAATAAAACTCAATATTTTCTAGCACCAGACAAATAGGGAATAAAACATGAGCATCATCAAGGACCTGACTGTCAACAGGACAGATATATGCTAAACATGATGATGCCATTTACTCTTTATACAAGAACCCAACATACAAAATAAGATAATAGCTTCCACGCAAAACATATTATATACAATATTACAAATAATGCTTCAAACTCAAACCATTAAAACAAATTAGTTTAATTTTGGTAACATATGAAGAAAAAGTTAATCAGCAGGACTGAAAAAAGAAGTGCATACCCCCCATACTGTTGGTGGTTCTTTAAAATTCTGACTCCACTGAAAATCTGTTACGGAGGCCGTTAAAGCACCATAATCACTAGCAGCCCTCATCAGCAATTCTGAAAATTGTTTCTGCACAATTCAATTACATTAAGACATCTATTGGCTTGATACGTATCTGAATGATTAAATGAACAGCTTTAAAAAGCTAAAGAGTGGTATAGAAGCATCTGGGTATCAGTCGAAGTGTAACTACAGTGAGTCTATTTTTACAAGGTAAATAATGTACAGTAGGGTGTGTTAGAAGCGAAGTGTTAATGTAATTAAGAATGTTATGATGGTATCTGGTTAGTTCCTCTTTCAACTAAATATAAGATGTAGGTTATCCTTATTTTGATAAGGTAATTGTTTTTATTAATGATGGCGGAGAACCTCATAAACAAGTACAAGCAATATACCAAAACATAGAGAACCTACACCAAAATATGTATGGTTCTCTAAGAAAGCAATCCAATCACCTATACATATAGGAATCTCAAGGGTACACAAAAAAGAAACATAAGCAGAGGACTACTTTGCAATTTAACCAAATCACTATCTACTCCTTCAAATGCTCTCATGTTTCTCTCTTTACATAGAACCAACACATAATGGCTACTGAAGATTGCATCCTACAGCTATAAATAGGTGTATCTTTTATTCCACTATCATCATGTTATCAAAAAATCTCCTCCTCTTAGTTTTTCTCACTGGGTGTTTAAGTTTCAAAGGGTTACAAGACAAGGACTAAGCAGTAGCTCTTTGGCAAAGTGCCCCACATTCATTGTGTGCACTCATCAATTGCTGTTCTTTGTTTTTTTATTTGTGTTGTCAATGCTGAAGTGCTTTTGAATTGTGTAGCAATGGTGCACACAGTAGCAAAAGAATAAAGAATTAGAGATTAGGTATTATGAAAATAATACTCATTCTTGTTGATAAAGCAAAGAATAGCAATGACAAGCATCACATCAGGGAAGAAATAGAGTTATTTTCAAAACATAATGAGACACTTAATTTGGTTTTATAATTTCATGTTTGGTAAACACCGCAGCTTTAAGAAGTTCTAACCAGGTGATATTAACATTGAGCTTAGACTAAATTAAGAGTATTGGCAAAATAACAGGAAATTTTCAATCTAGAGAACTAATGTAAAACCAGACGAACTCATACAATTTTTACATTTTTGATAAGTTAGCTTATGCAACTTTTAGTGATAAAAAATCAGAGTTAATTACTCACGGTGTGGTATAGCAGAAAAATCTTGTTCAAATTAACTGGTTAAAAACTCATCAAAGAGCTCCTTATATAAGAGTTTTCAAGTACAAAAGTTTCGCAATATTTGTGTTTCTTGATTATGAGACATATGTATTATGAATATTCAACACTTTTTTTTGAGGATAAATATTATGAATATTCTACACTTCTAATTGCTCTCTGACTAATGTAACTATTAAGAATGACTAGGTTTTCTTTCTTGACTTTGATCATGCTCCCTCAAACTGGGGGTGATAAAGTAACTTATAGTTTGCTTATTTTGAAAATGAAAAACTAAAGATAGACCCGGGCCGAGTAGTTACTAATTGTCTGGATAATGTTTGCCGAAATGGTAAGCAATCAACCCAGAAAAAAAAAGAGATGTAAGGAATTCTAGAACATTGTTGTGTGTAGTTACATAGGAAAAGATGGAGACAATATGTACTGAAAATAATGCCTTCTGGAGGAAGTCAATAAATAAAAAATATGGTCAACTGGGACATTGGTGCTCTAAACCAGTGAATTCTTCTTTTGGGGTTAGTATTTGGAAAGACATCAGGAAATTTTGGGAGAACTTTGCTATAAACATTGAGTTCAGACAAAAGGAAGGAAGACATTCTTCTGGAATGATAATTGGTTAGGACATGGTCCTTCAAAAGAATTAAATCCAGATTTGTTCTGTTTGGCGTCTACACCTGAAGCTACAATTGAGGATGCATGGAGTCAACAGGAATGGATATCTCTTTTAGAAGATTGTTATATGACTAGGAGATTGAAAGGGTGGCTGAAATTCTGAAGACACACGAGGTCTTTCATGGTTCACGAAATTTTGAGGACTACATAGTTTGGAACGGAAGCAGCAAAAAAAGGTTCACAATCAATTCTGCCTATCACTCTCTGTCAGGAACTGATTCCATTAACCCTGACTGGCCTTGGAAATTTCTTTGGAAAGTCAAAGCTCCATTCAAAGTTTTGTGTTTTACATTGTTAAAAGGGGATACAGTTGAGATCTAGGTGTTTTTTGTGTCAGGAGGAGGCAGAGAACAATAGCCATTTATTTCTGCATTGTACAAGTCACTGACCTTTTATAGTAATTATCTTTGTCTTTGGCTGAGGTTAAATAATTATACAGGTAATGCCTAAAGATACAAAGGACCTTTTGTGGACTTGGAGCAATGTGACAAGAAGTATTAGACAGGAGAAATGGTGGAATGCTGTTCAGCTTGCATACGGGGTGGACTGTGTGGAAAGAAAGGAAAGCTGGGTGCTTGGAAGACACGAGCTGCTCAATACAGGAAATTAAGAAGAACTGTTTTTGTTTTTTATATTCCGGTGTAAGGAAATTCTGTAGAGGATGCAGAAACAATATGAATTTTTTAACTCCTTCTATATTTTGGACTGGGCCTTCTGTGATTGTAAATGCCGATACCGGCACCATCTGGTGCTGATGAATATAATGTTAAAAATCCCTAAAATATCATAAACGATATTCACAATATTACGTTAACCAAATGCAATGAATCTAATTAAATAATATTCTGTGAAAATTCTTCCACATACCTATGTTGTTTTTTCCCAATCTTCTGCAAAAATAATCTTTTGCAAATGAGATTAAAACTCTTTGGTAGTCAGTACATATATATGGACAACCACGGTGATCAAACAATAAAAGAGTATATATATGGACAAGCAATTATCTCTTAAGTTCTAGATATTCATGGAAGATAAACTAATTTTATACAGTTGGCAAGTAACAAACCTGATATTCAGCTTCAACAGGAATGCAATCCAACGAATATGGTTGTTGAAGGCGAGCAATTATGCGGTCCTAAAAGACCCACAGAAGAGATTTAAGCAAACACAGCAGAAAAATGAAGAAAATAGAAAAAGAAATGATAAGTTAAAGCTTACTAACTTACTTAATGAGAATTCTAGAACCCATGTACCCTACACGTTCGATAAAATACCAGAGATAATATCCTGGTGAATCAGCTCTCAGTCCACCCTATTCTCATTTAGTTCAGTCGTAAGTAAGA